GGTGGCCACCCGTCGGCTGCACACGCACCAGCCGCTTGTGTTTGCCTTCTGCCGCTGCTGCTGCTGCTACTGATGCTGACTCATGCGGCAGTGGAGCGGCCATCTTGAGCTGGGCGCGCGCTAAAAGAGGGACGCGCATGACGGCATAGTCCTTGTCTTTAGTTTTCTGTTCGGGACATTTGTGAAATGCAGGCGGCACGGGGTTCAAACGTCGAATCTGTATTCTTCGGTATGAAGGGGTGCCGCGTGTGGTCGGTGGCGCGTTGCTCCCGACATAGCATATATATATATATATATATATATATATATATATATATATATATATATATATATATATATATATATATATATATATATATATATATATATATACATATATATATATATATAAGGGGAGGGAGGTTGGGGATTACGGCTTAATTATTTTCATTTTGTTCATTTGTTTCGTTCATGTGAACAAAGTGGTCCCTTTGAATTACAAGGGGAGCGAGCAAGTGAGCGAAACACCGTTACTTGGTCCACAGTAAACTTAATTGCTTTTCGCTTCTTTTATCATTACGGCTCATCTTTTTGTGGAGTAATTAAATTAAAATTAAGTAAAAGAAACATGGATTTGAAGAGCCATTCCACTCTGACCGTGGATGACCATGGCAGCTGTTTGGCATACTGCATGAGGTGACACTTTAGAGGTCAGTTTCGTATGAGAGGCCAGGTTGACTGAAGTGTTCAGTCAACGTTCAAACCACTGTGCAGCCTGAGTCTACTACGACACATGAACGATGATACCATCAAGGTTGTGAGTAGGCTTCACTGTAATAAGTTACGTGGAAAAGCCAGCATGCAAAATCAAAGTTCGCGTCTTTTTTTTTATATATATAAGCCTGCTTCACTTCTAAACGGCAGTGCATTGCTAAAAAGACAATTTGTCAGGGGAAGTATAAGCTGCGTTATATATAAAATGGAATGACCCAAGGACGTGCCTAATATTTTAATAATTGTTTGCATTTTCTGTTCGTTTCGGTTTTCCTCGCAGGTATACGTTATTTTCGAGAGCCGTGAGCAGGCATGGCGATAGAATATACGAGACATTCGTGTGGTTTCGATATATTCGCATTCACAAGTGTCGGCATGTCCACTTGTTGTTCACACACTCGCCCTCGTAGTGTGGGTGTCAGAGTTGAAGCCTCAGCGTCAGTAACTAAGCTTTCTTTACTCCAATGTGTTATCCTTTTCCGGCACTTCGTCGACGATGCTCCGAGGTTTAACTTTTGAGACCGGCCTTCTTTTTCTTTCTGTCTGTAAACTCTTCGCAAAGATTACCGTGCGATATGTGGGGTTCAAAACAGAGAGAAATTTCAACAAAAAAGTTTATTCTGAATCCCGCAGTTTCAAAGCCCAACTGACCCCTCGATGGTTCTGTTGAACGCATCCCCCCTCTGTTGGTGATCAATGACAGCTCCTGCCTCGGGTAGAGATGACAGCGAAAAGCTTACTGAATGTATCGAAGGGTCCTTCGTTTGACGCTTGGAAGAGCACTATAAGCACTCCAGCTGTGATTTTCAAAGAAGTCTATACTTTGCCCGAATGGTCGTCAATCCGCAGTAAACGCGCTCATCTGTGCACCCGTGCCGCATCATATTTTTTTTCCCTTCTTCACACTTCGGGGTAACAAACGAAGTGCAACATTGTTAACCTCCCCAGCCTCTCCTTTTCACTTGCTATATTTCGGCTTGAAAAAAAAAATGGCGAACAACTTGTCGTGCTGTTTGGTAACAACTCCGAGTGACGAACAAACAGACAAAAAAAAACTATCGTTCTGTTTCACTCACATTCCTTCCGAGGAAAGGGCCGGGTAACAATAGCTTTTTTGCTGCTGCTCTTTCAGCGCGCTGTCAAAGAGGGGACGAAAACTTCCGTCTGGCCTGCTGTACGCGTTTTACAATGCCATTGTGCGACCACCACGCCCTCTGTCTGCGCAAAGAGGCGAATACCTCTGAAGAACCCGCCGGCACTCTTTGTGCATCGTTCACGATGCACAAGGCCGTAAGCTTTCATCCTTCTTCAAGCACTTCTTCTCTGCGTCGCGCACGCGAAAGACGAGGAATTTGTGGGAACGTCAATCTTCGGACGCTGCCATGGTTCTCGCTTCCTTACTATTTGTCTTTTCCTATGTGCTCAACGCCCTCTAGGGCCAGCAAGTTAGAATGGGCCTCGAAGGACGGTGCGCGCACCTGTATTTGTGGGTTCGCGCGCAGCTAAGAAGCTATGTGTTTGTTTTCCTATACTTGAAGGTAAATCTTGAGCAAATACTCTCCGCACGGTGTTGGCAGAGACAAGAGTGAGAGGATATAGCTTCCGTCTCATATGCAAAGCCGTCGGCTTGCCTGTGGTCTTTATCTATCTATCTATCTATCTATCTATCTATCTATCTATCTATCTATCTATCTATCTGTCTGTCTGTCTGTCTATCTATCTATCTATCTATCTATCTATCTATCTATCTATCTATCTATCAATCTGTCTATCTATCTATCTATCTATCTATCTATCTATCTATCTATCTATCTATCTATCTGTCTATCTGTCTATCTATCTATCTATCTATCTATCTATCTATCTATCTATCTATCTATCTATCTATCTATCTGTCTGTCTGTCTGTCTGTCTGTCTGTCTGTCTGTCTCATCAACCTATATTATGCTAATCCAACTGGTCCTATTAGTGCTAATCGTTTAGCGTTTGCCACAAAACAGATATCCTTCCTCCAAAATGATGCAGAAAGAAACCGTTCCCGTGATACAGTTTATTTCGGTGCACAAACCGTCTTTTGGTTGTCTGTATAAACCTTACTTCTTTCCTCATTCGGGTGCCATACTCTATTTTTGTGTGTGTGTCAGTGATTACGAACGAACCAAAGCAGGACACAAAACTCTTTTTCGATTGTCTGCTGTTCTTTTTGTCTGCTTAATAGTGTAGTGGACCGTAGCAGTATAAGGCATCGCTTCATGACGATTTTTGTGCGTTCGTTTGTTCTTGACGATCAAACACGATGTTCGGTGTGCACGCGATGGAAGTGTGCCTGAAGTTCTGGTTGCAGTAAGACACGCGACGCACGGGACCGTTCTTCTCTAGAAGAACGTCATAAAAGCAGCCAGTATCGTTTTCCGTTCCTGGTCATTTATTTCTAGGAAGAGAATATATCCTATATGCAGCAATGACTAGAATCGAAATGGCAGGAAGTGCGTGTAATTCCACGACCGTGGGTCGTGTATGAAGTACCAGTTTTAGAAAATAGACAGTTTTAAACGGAATAAACGAATGACTGATTTTGCTTCAAGAATCAAAGGCAAACGCCGCCGTGAAGAGCTCCCGCTAACTATTGATGGCGCATTTGTATACTCTCGTACAAAAATTTATGCTATGCAGTGCCACTGCATGAAACTATGGATACTTATTGTTATTATTATTTGTTAGTTTTCTTTTTACAGAAAAATTTTAGCAGCAGCAGTAGTAGTAGTAGTAGTAGTAGTAGTAGTAGTAGTAGTAGTAGTAGTAGTAGTAGTAGTAGTAGTAGTAGTAGTAGTATCTTCATTATATTTCTTCAAATACAATAAAAAAGGACCGAGGCAGAAGGCGTTTCATACGCCAGTAAAGGTGGCGATGTCATACGTTTTTACAAAACAACTACGAATCCGCCATTTCATCAACTTGAATAAACACAGCTTCAACAACGTGAGACACTTAATTTGTGCACACGTACAAAGCACTTCACATATTTATGGTTGACATTGTGCTTGCACGCTATTGCAAGTGATTGACGTTGGAAGAGTTCGTAGTTCATCGTCAGGCGTTAGTCCGTGTATACCGATGTCCGTGTTTTTTCGTCCGGTAAAAACTGTTTTTGACGGCATTGGGAAACGTTAATTTCTTTATTCAGGTTTGTATTGTTGCTCAGGTCCTTACCATTTCGCAAGGGAAACAGCGCGAAAGACAAGGTTTGTACAGGCACTCATAGAGCTATAGAGCTACACGTATACATACCTTCATTGTCCTGGTCTTCCGCGCTGCCGACAAGTTCGCCCTTACCACTTCCTCTGTTGTTTACTGCTTACTGTCAGCCAGGTAGCGCAACTCGTTCGTCACTCTATAAATGGCAACAATAAGTGACGCTGCTTTTTTTTTTTTCTTTTCCACCGTCATGATCTCTATGAACCCAGTACACAGCGGAGGCATTCGCAGACTTGTTTTTCAAAGAGCACAATACTCATTAAACTTCAATAAGCTAAGTTACACCTGCTCCATGAACATTTGTTCTATCAGCCTGCAGACAGTATTCCGAAAGCGCACGAAACGCGCGCTCTATAGTGTCTTTATGCAACGGATGCAGGCGGCTAAAGGCTGAATGGTTTTGAGAGGGAAGATGGACCACGAAACCTCCGGCACCGTATGCGGGACACGCCCAGTGGCACTCGAAACACGTTCGCGTTAAAAGATGTGTCGACGTCGGTGCATACGCATCCATCCTTTTCCACCCTCGCGATCATCACTCATCCCTCCTTTTTCCCCTCGCTTCCCCAAAAGACAGAACAGCTATGCTGGATCATTCCGCATCTTCAGAATGTGTGTGTCTGTGTGTGTGTATTCACTTTTGTCTCTTCCCTCTTCGCTGCTATATTTGTTCCCAATCAGCTCCCTCTTCTTACTGGTCTGTTTGCACCCCGATTTGTTCCACTCAGCTCCCGAGGTCCAGGCGCACACATCAACGGCAACTCCGAGTTTAGCCACCGGGGGGAAGGACATCGCATGGCATAGATGTGACGCGAGACGTCGCCGGCTACCAGCGACGTCCTCGGGTACGTCGTCCACCCCGCCGCCGCGGGTCCTGTCAACGGGGGTTCACACCCGACCCCGGATTGACAAGGAGGAGGAGGAAGACGAGGAGAGGAGAGGCGAACTTCCCGGCGGCCGCTGCGTGACGGGGGTGGCCGGCCGGACCGGGAATGAGCCGGACTGGTCGCCGCGGCCGGCTGCCCCGAGCGTCCACCGAGTCCTGCGGCGCATTGCCGCCGTTTTCCTTGCTGCTTCTGCTCCTGGTCGAGGCGGCCATCCTCCTGCGACCGGGCCACGCCACGACGGAGACCACGGCACTGCCCACCGACAACTCGTCCGCCGAAGTGGTTCCCGCCGCCACGCTTGCCTCGCACGGCGACGTAGGCGCACGTGAGTGTGTTGACACCGCATTCTCAGTTTTGATGCCGCAGTATAACGGCGAAGAAATTGAAGGGAATGACGTATTCTGTGGGTAAGCTTAAGCGTATGGTCATGGGCCGAACTATGTCTCGATAATGGTCATATAGCCTATAGTAAAGGTAGATGGTGGCCAGCAAAAAGAAAAAAAAAAGGCTGAAGAAAGCCTAACGAAATACCTACGATGATATAGAGAGAGTGGGAATGCGTTTGCGTTGATTATGGGTCATTCTGCGGTCACACCTTGCTTTGAAGGTACGCGCATGTGATATGACGCACGTTATTCTGACAGTTGTGATTTGTTCCTGTGTTTGTTAATTGTATAGATAGACAAAAACCGGCCATGTACTTTCCATACCCGAACCTTCTTCGGCGTGTTTCAGAGTTTTTCTGTGCGAGAATGCATTCTGCCTCCACTATGAACTTGCAACTTTCCTTTGATTGTCTTGAAAGATGGGTCGTGAACGTACATAAGCTCGTGTCTTTGACGGAACACCGTATTTTCTTCTCTGTGACACCTTTACATAACGTAAACAAATATAAAGAGCAGTAAGGCGTGTAGCCGATTATGTAACCACCACTGACGTAACAGCACCCGCGTGTTTGTGGTAACACGAAATAGGTGCAACCTATAGTTAACGCAATGATGCATGAACTGGTTGCGGACAGCCGATACAGCTCGTATGCAGTTTAGTTTTCGAATGATTTTTTGGATGTAACTTGCTGTAGTATACTGTAGTATAATTCCGCTTTATGCAACCGTTTACTGCCGTATAACGCTGCTTGATGCAATCGTTACTGTAGTATAACGCTGTTTGATGCAATCGTTAAAAACACAGGAATGTGTATAGGATTACAGGGCCTTGAATGAACCACGTGCTGGGCCTCTACGTTGATTTGGACTAATTGGCAATGGTCCACGCTGCAAGAATGTAGTGCCAGGAAAGATTAAGTGGACAGGTGACACGTATACGCTCGTTGCACGTCGCGTGAATTCGCTCGCGCGTGTGATCTTTCATACTAAGCGGCCTCCGTCATTGCTAGCGTGGCTGCCTCTTTGCATTTAGTTACTTTTCTCGTCACCGGACTTACAAAGAAGTAAGTGCCCCGCCAACGTGCTCACCAGTTTGATTTAGGCAGTGTGGAATATATTGTCGCTCGGATTTCTGTGCGTCGGACGTCCTGTCGGTCGGTTCCTCCGAAGCGTGCGTATACACATATATAGTCGCGTGCGTGTACCTGTCCATTTGCAGAGTGCAATGACCGTTCTGCTCTGCCGGTGGCGGTTTCATGGCGAAGGGTGGCGCATACACACGATACGATCATTTGTTTTTTTTCTTTTTTTCTCAACCTCCATTCAGGTGACTGTGATACATTTCGCAGTTTTCCGAGTGTCACGCTGGGTATTGGCAGTCACGTAGCACTCTGAGCTGAAGAAGGGCCGCCTCGTTTTATGCGAGCTGTAAATCAAAAAGGCGAGTTTAATGGTGCGCTGAAACGACAGTATCCGCAATATCTTTGACATTTTGTTGTTTTTATTATTCAGAGAGCTTGGGACTTTAATTAAGGAAATGAGGTATCCGATGATCGGATGGAAAGACAAGTTAAGTGGTCGCTTTTTTTACCCCAGTGATTCTGTTCGCTTTGCTCATGAATAAGGGCCCTTTGCTGGCGTACTTCTTGCCAACCACTGAGTAGTTGTCCAATTCAATTTCTAGGTTCGCTTTCTTCTTTTGTTTTGTTTACATTTCAAACAACCACAGCATAAAGCAGGAGATATATATTTTGTTAGGACCGCATGCATGTGCATAGCTAGCTACATCTATAGAAGCGAGCGCAGTATACAAAGCATTGCTAAGAATAATTTTGCGAGTCAAATGATGCATACCGTATACATGCGATGGACGTGCATGTATATATCTTTTTGGGAAGCTCGTATGCACAGCACTTTGTATTCAAAACTACCGCATGCGTGATATTGTCCCGCGTTCCTGGCGTTTGATGAAGGAAACAGTCGGTGTTTTCAAGACTAAACATGTTGTACTTGGACGAACTTATGCCATGAAAACTGAACGTCACTCGGTACAAACAATACACGCCGTAGCCTGAGAATGGTGAACACAGCGTCGGCCGTTGATAATCTGCCATGTGGTGAAGCTAGTCGGCATTTATGCACGTGCTTACAAAGATTTTAGTGTCATCGCTAGAAAAAAGAAAACAACATTCTGAATTGCCACGTTAGCATGGGAATAAAATAGCGGAATATCAGCATGTAATGCACAATAATACAGAAGTAAGTGAATACACGTAAACAAAAACAAAAAGATACTTGATCCTTTCTTCAAAAAAAAAAAAAATCAGAAATCTCACAAATTAAAACATATCCGCTTAGATGTAGTCTAAGCACTGGTGGTCGTTAAGAAATAGAAGTGTATACATTTGCATAGTGTCTATTAGAAAAAAGATAACAACAGATCTACTGAGCCCTTTAGAATACACCTACATTCAGAACAGCAAAGATCCTTCGCGTCTTCGTCTTTCACTCGCTGCTGCAGCGATGATGTCGTCTTAGGCCTCTTCTACCCGATTTATCTATTAACTGTGTGTGACGTCAACGATCACTTCTCACGAACTTGTCTCAGAAGCCTTTCATTATCTCTGCTGTAAAGGGACGTTGTCCTGAAACCGGAAAGAGATTGATGCACCGGAATGAAAACCAGCCGCGCAGCTATCAGCCGCATCTCGCCAATATGATAAAATTAGCACGCTGTTTTACTGACGTCACTTCCGTGATGGAGATGACGTTGATAATTTTATGGTGGAGCCCCGCATAAGACATTGTTTCTTTTTATTTGAACTTACTGAAGACTCGAACGGCATTTACCAGAGCGGTTACAGAGGTAAAGACGAAGACAATTATGTGCAGAAATGAGTGGTTTGAACTTCAGTAAGGAAAGATTATATACAGGCTTACAAGATGTGTAAGTCGTTCTAGCAATTTGTTTCTGAAAGAAAGTGTGAATATTTTCGTATATCAAGGTGGCTAGAAGGTGTCGAATTAATCTGGTGTGTATATTAAAACTTTTTGGGCCTGGTAGAATTATAATCATACCACTAATTATAAAGCGCAAACACAATAGTACACCCGACACATGCATGTGCTATCAACTGACTTTATTTCGGCAATATTCCACACGAGAGCGGTATACATGGCATAAACCACGCCGATGGCACACGAAGTTAGGCTGCAGGGAAGTCCCTCATTGGCGGAAGCGCTAATATAGAAAAAGAGATCCACCAAGAGGTGGGACGCTGTACAGTACAAAGTGAGACCCGTGGTGGTCTCGTATAAGCGTCGAATCTCCCATCAGCTCAACAAAGTGGCAGGAAGACGTATAGTGTCACTATATACGGTATACTGTCTGCCCTGGACAAGCTTTCCAAGCTATGCTCCCGCACTTGCGGTATGAGCACAGAAGGGTGCAAAATTGCGACACGTTGTGACGTAAACGTCCCGCGTGGTGTCGTTGTGGTTTATGCCATCCCGCTCTCGTGTGGTATAAGACCAATCGTCGATCAAACTGGAAGATGCGTCAACGAGCGGCTCAGGGAACTCTCACAAAAGAAGAACGAGAATGCAGACAAAGGAGCCCATCTTGCGGCTCATATCAACGCTTGCCGCAGCTGTGAGGCACGTTTTCAAGAGACGTCGATCCTTGGCAGGAACAACAGTGAGCATGCGCGGCTGGCTTTGCAAGCTTCTCATATCAGAAAACGTTCTCATCTTTGCGTAAGCGACACGTCTCTGTCCCTGCACCCGTCCGAGTTTGATTTCATTTCATCGTCGCGTATGTAACACACTGATTCATTTTTCAACTCCGTTTCACTTTTGTGGTTGTTTTTCTAGATTGCGTGGCGCATGTGTGGTAAGGCTGCCTTGAAGGTACATTGACATGTAAGGTTTAACGTCCCAAAACCACCATATGATTATGAGAGACGCCGTAGTGGAGGGCTCCGGAAATTTCGACCACGGGTTCTTTAACGTGCACCCAAATCTGAGCACACGGGCCTACAACATTTCCGCCTCCATCGGAAATGCAGCCGCCGCAGCCGGGATTCGAACCCGCGACCTGCGGGTCAGCAGCCGAGTACCTTAGCCACTAGACCACCACGGTGGGGCTATATATATATATGCATTGACAATTGTCGAAATAAATTCAAGTGATAGTCAGCGCTTATGCTTGTCGTCTCTTTTTTTTGGGGGGGGGTGTGTGTTTTTGTGTTTGCGCTGTAACACTACTTCAATGATATTTTGGTATGGTTAGTTTTTCATTAGTGGAGGAAAGGGGAAGTAAATAACGTACCGTGGAAATGACGTGACTGCGACTTTCCTTTTAAAAAATACAAATAATACTTAGATTCACTGACTCTAATGCGTATATGGGCCTGCAGTCGTGAAGTACACCCTATAAAATATTTCGGGAGACGTGTTTTCTGGCTGCATTTCCGATGGAGGCGGAAATGTTGTAGGCCCGTGTGCTCAGATTTGGGTGCACGTTAAAGAACCCCAGGTGGTCGAAATTTCCGGAGCCCTCCACTACGGCGTCTCTCATAATCATATGATGGTTTTGAGACGTTAAACCCCACATATCAATCAACGTGTTTTCTGGCAACACGAAGTGTTCACGCGAAAGGCGGGGCCATCGCTTCCTTCGTGTCCTGTTATGGGTGCCTCAATTTAAGGATCGCTGTCGGAGAAGCGCGGTCGCGGGAAAACAGATCGTCGCATCGGAACCACTTTAACCAATTTGAGCTGAGAGCCCGCGGCAAGATGAACGCTCACTTAGCGGCCTGCCCAGTCTCTCTCAGCCGAAGCCGTGGGAGCGGCCCTTGTATAGAGAGATGCACTTCGCCGAAAAGCGCATCGGCCCTCAAATTCGTTTACACGATGCCTGTCTGTTTCCTCTTCAGAC